ATAAGCAATGTTAACTATTGGTGATACGGATCATATATGTATTGAACTATTTGTAATAACCTACTACAGTTTATAATTGAATAAACGTGTGGACGGACTTGGATTTGTTTCCACAGATTGATTTGATTCGGTGATTTGTTCAAGTAAGTGAGTTAGAGAGTTGGGTATAACGCTGTCTGCAACAGTATGTAAGTTATGTCATGCCGTTTCAGCCGGACATCTGTTTCAACCTAATTTTATCTGTTTTCAAACCTCTACCTTCGTCTTCCAATAAACTGTAATCAGTAGAAAATCCAACACGATGCTCTGCTTCATCGATTTTTATTTCATAAACCAAGAATCTGCCTTGAAATGACAACTAATACCTGTCTCTACCGTTACTATCGTCATCATTATCTAGTTCAGGAATATGACAAAATAAATCGCCTCAAGGTAATATATACGTCAACTTTACAGCTCATGAATAATGCATATCTCAAAATGTTTTATCATGCCGAATAATGCATATCTTAAAATATATGACCAATTCATGATTAACCTTTGTGGTCAATTCCAATCAAACAGATAATGTTTAATGGTTCTCCTGTTCGATGTCGAATAAACAATAATATGTGCCTTTATGTTAACCAAACAATATCCGTATTTCAGTAAAAGCCACTGAATCTCACTATAGGAATGCATTGTCACAATAATACCAGCTGTAAAACTATCATGGATATGGGTAAGCCCAGCTCTGGTTCGCGTCAACTCAACGTCACTGGCTTTGAGCCTTAATTTGAGGTAAGAACTTATTCAATATACACACACAGTATATAATTGATAATGTGCCGTTTAGTACAACGTAGGGATCAACAATGTGGGAGTGAGGTGAGTGTTTAGCCGCTTAGAGAAGAGCGAGAGAGTAAAAACGACAGTGAATGAAAATGTTATACGGGAACAATAACAATAATTGAATTTACACGTCAAAACTGTATGATGTATGAACACACATGATAGATCCGTATTCATGAACAAATGAAATGACCATACGAGAAACATCTTGCTTGATATTGGCATTTTCATTTTTGTTTTTCATAATAAAATAGACAGAAACAAACATTGACGCGAACGTACATTGTACATTCAGCTGCGCCTGATTTCTAATGTTACCCTTGTATGATATGGGTACAGCCATGACAGCAAGGTTGATCAATCCACATTAACCACAGAAACGGTATTACAGCCCCTTGCCATTTCAGAAATTTGGGATAGTTACATCAAGACTGATGTTTAAACAAAAACCTGGAAGGACACAAGTTCTATTCATTTACTATTAACCTGAATATGGCATATGTTCCCCAAAACTGAGATTAATAATCAAACAGAATCCGGATCAGGAGATCAGAATGGGGATCGGTGTATCAGTCTCCAGTGTCTATTGATTGTGCTAAAGTACAGCCAGATGTCAGCAAGACTAAAAGTTGAGGGTTGTGCTGACACGTCCATGTGTCATCCATGCCAGATTACATTCATGGGTCATTAGTTGCATGAATAGATGCTTGTACATTACACCTGTAGTCAGTGACGGCCAGAGGTACAAATTGATAGACTCCCTATGTACAGATCCATAAGGGTGGCAGATAGGATTTAGATTTACATCCTACACTTTCCTCCCTGGACAATATTTAATATCAAAACTTTCGCGAGGCTGTGGTGTTTATGAATCAACGAAACAATCGATCCACCTTCGTGGTTGTTTCGAAAACTGACGAAACACGTGTATACCTTTGGTCACAATGTAAGGATGAATGTCTTGATTCCCCCTCCACAGGTAACAAGAAATGGGCCATGTTTGTCAGTGCACAGACCAATGTTGACACACATGATGGCGGGAAAGTGAAACAGTGTTTCATTGTGTGAAGTGACTGATATATTCCTATTCTCCCATGATATAGGCAAATACTTTCTATGCAGATAATACAAGTGACGGGTGTTCATGGAGTACTGCATCCTGCTTACAATTTTCGCGAACACCTGGTGTCGTCATTGATTTTCAGTGTCCCTTCAATTTCCACCATTAGTTTGCCTTTTCCGTCTGATGGTCAGATAATCGAGACCTATATTATCTGGCGTTTAAGTCTTAAATTGATAACGTAGTGGAGATTGTCATGTCTTCTATTACGTCAGGGCCCTTGAATTCATAACGTGTTTGGGATTATCAGTAGGTGTCTTCTATTACTTCAGGGTCCTTGAATAAATAACGTGTTGGAGATTGTCATAAGATGCCTTCTATTACTTCAGGGTCCTTGAATTACTAACGTGTTGGAGATTGTCATAAGATGTCTACTATTACTTAAGGACCCTTGAATTAATAACGTGTTGGAGATTTCATAAGATGTCTTCTATTACTTCAGGGTCCTTGAATTACTAACGTGTTGGAGATTGTCATAAGATACCTTCTATTACTTCAGGGCCCTTGAATAAATAACGAGTTGGAGATTTCATAAGATGTCTTCTATTACTTCAGGGCCCTTGAATTACTAACGTGTTGGAGATTGTCATAAGATGTCTTCTATTACTTAAGGACCCTTGAATTAATAACGTGTTGGAGATTTCATAAGATGTCTTCTATTACTTCAGGGTCCTTGAATTACTAACGTGTTGGAGATTGTCATAAGATACCTTCTATTACTTCAGGGCCCTTGAATAAATAACGTGTTGGAGATTGTCATAAGATGTCTTCTATTACTTAAGGACCCTTGAATTAATAACTTGTTGGAGATTTCATAAGATGTCTTCTATTACTTCAGGGTCCTTGAATTACTAACGTGTTGGAGATTGTCATAAGATACCTTCTATTACTTGAGGGCCCTTGAATAAATAACGTGTTGGAGATTTCATAAGATGTCTTCTATTACTTCAGGGCCCTTGAATCAAATGATTTTTTTTACTTCAGGGTCTTTGAATTAATAACTTGTTGGAGGTTGTCATCAAATGACTTCTATTAATTTCACTGTTCATCATTTATGTACATGGTGAATATTACATTCATTCTCGTTAAATAATATTTTTCTACGAAATGAGTGGAATTCACGACTTTCGTAAAATGGTTATTTAACGGTATATGAGTGTGATATTTTATCCATTACCCACGTGAAATTTGTTTTAATTGTAATACATAACAACTTTCGATTCTTAACACACAAGACTGAAACCCGTTGCAAATCTGGTTGCGCGTGAATATTGTATGCCCAAATATAGGCATTGTTGACATTTCTATGTATACGCATTAACAACATGTTCCTGCTGTTGTGTATGCAAACATGACAGCACCAACGCTCAAGATGTTTTTGTAAAATATGTCTTCAACTTATAGTTATTCAAGCGCATTGTTGTTAGTACGCAGGACAACTGTAAGAAAACCTAAATAGTCAATTAGCGCCGCGCTTCAAATCTCGGACGAACACTGGGTCATTCGTACCGACGGGGTCCCGGCTGTGCTATCAAAATGGTTCAGTTTCCCCGATCAGCTGAATTTATATCCTGTCCGTAACATTTTGGAAGAGAGAAATCAGAGTGTTTGCCAAAGACATTTATGTTTACTGTACCAACCTATGCTGAAGACGTGAAAAGCATCTAGTAGCACTACTGTATGCATAACTATTATATAATGCAAAGCGAAACTGATGCGTGTGACTATCTTCTTTCGTTTAATAAATTGTTTGTTAATGTCTCTCACTTTCGTGGGATTCCTTCAGTTCTGCCTTGTAGTGAATGACGTCTCGCGATTGTTGTTATGAATGAAAAGCAGAAGCAGCAATATGAGACAAAACAAATATAACCAACGACAGGTCAAATAAAACACAACAGCAAACTTCAACCTGCTTGGAATTACATTTATTTAATACCACTTGCAAAATATTACAGTCTGGACTTTTGAAAAGCTAGATTTATACTTGTTATTTGTTTATTACATAGTGTTGAATCATGTTGGAATATCAACTAAATAACACTACAGTCATTGAATACAAGTATATATTTGTGATTTAATATTGATGGGAATACAATAAGAGTTGATGATGCTTACTGAAAGGTGGTATCATGTTGTAACTGTGACATTCACATTACAAACGTCAACATATTTAACAGGTGAAGTATTCTTCATGTCAGTTCCACATTGGAATCCTCGGATCGGGACGAGAATCCTACAAGTGCTACATGAGTTATGAGCTATATGAGTGCTTCTCGTGAGTGCAAAGGATAGACGTACATAGTCTCACTTCGGGAAATAGAATGATGTACGTATTAGAAAGAATATAAACACGTTATACAATCAGGGTTAATGAGGAACGGTAACATGTCTGCGGACACCTTTGGCTAAATACATGTGCAAAACATGAAAAAAGCAATATATTCTCAGGAAATCAAACCTTGAAATGCACTTCTCCTATTCGTATAGAAACTGTATCCCCAATTGGAAAAGAATCCATGAAGTAGTTTTCAAGTTATATGTCGCACAAACGATGAAACAAAAAGCAATTCACAACATGAAAAACATCATATTTACAAAAATACACATATCAACATCAAGATTTTCCACTGCACCTTTTCTCTTAATAGAGAAACCGTTCCCTCATTTTAAAGAGAAACAATGCAATAGTGTTCAAATATAGGTCGCACAAATGTGGAAAAAATAAAAAGCTGTATTTTGTTTCAGAAAATTCAAATATCGAAATCAAACTTCGCATTGTACCTCTATTATAGTCATGAAAAGTGTTTATCAAGTTTGAAAAGAATCTATTTAGTAGATTTCAAGTTATAGATCGCCTCAAAAGGACGGACAGACGCAGGGAAAGACGGCTGGACAGAAGAAGGATGGAATTCCTTGGTATAACTATGTACATAAATACGTATAAAACATACAAATGCGAACTTTTTCCATATTCAAAACTAATCTCGTCTATGAGCAGAATCGATTTACAATTCCGAATATATCAGAAGCATGTGTTTTTGATCCACTGTCGAATACCGATGACACCAGGTGTTCTCAAGAAGGTGAATGTTCCCTGATCCACACTTCCCTGTTTCGTCCGAATATATTGAACAAACAAATAGCCTTGATGAAACACATTTATATGCTGGACGCAGTTATATATGTACATTGTACACAGTCTGGTCATTGATATGAGGCCTATGGAACAGTGAACTCTATAAGTAAGGTTGTCTACAACCAAGATATCTCCTTTTTCGGTGTAGACACCATCCTAAGTTCAGGAGACAAGACAAGGACAGTATACTGTTCACAGATGAGTCGATGGTTCATCAGAACAGCCAAGGCCAACAAACTTTTAGGAAAACGTTTTAGCGTCACAACTCATAGGAGATAACACGTCATTGTTGAAGGCAATTTCAATGGCGTACGTTACCCGGACGACATCGTTCGGGATCATCGAGAATCATGAGGAATCATACCATTGCTGTACTGTCATGGCCGGCTGTTTCTCAAGACCTCTTCCCCATAGAACATGCTTTAGATGAGATAGAACGTACGCCCCTGACAGGACCAGAACCAGCCTGTAATGCTAGCTCCATGGGGGCAATATTTGGTTGACATTTGGAACAATATACCGCAGACTTGATATTTTCAATAAGGTAACATTTAAACCACTTTATATGAACCACAATTACTTTTTACTCCTCGAGGATATGTAAATATGAATTTTGTATTTCAGAAAGTTTCTCACGGTAATGATATAAACTTGCAAAAAGAATTGGTTAGTGCAAGACACCAGTTTATTAATAATGAGTTGAGCGTAATGCCCACGAGAGGCTGTTCAGGATTCGGAAAAGGGACACAACTCTTCACAGCTGACGGAGATGCCTTGGACCAATGGGCCATCCGTGTCTCTTATTTGGATGTCCTTTAAGTTTCATTCTATGTCACGCAGGCCGCCGGTATGCACCTCAGACATAACAATGTGCATCTTATTGCACTTTAGTTATTATTCTCTTTTATTACATTTCCTATTTCCTCCCAATCATCCATACACGCAATCGTGTGATGTGAGAACTAAATCCCATAAACCGCTACATCAATATTCACTCCCATACTATGTTAGGATAAATGTCTTGATTTCCCTTCCACAAGTGACAAGAACTGAGTCATGTTTGTCAATGCAGAGACTCAATGGCTGATTAATACCGTCCTGTGATGTGATGACATCGCTGACATATTCCCCTGTCTCCTTCAGTTGTATCATCGTCTCGGCGTCCTTGTCTACAACCATGATATCTCCTTTTTTGGTGGTAGAGATACCAGCAGGAATACTGAGAGCTTTGCCTCCGGTAGGGGCGTATCTCCACACAACATCCCCCTCTGACGTCACACATGTCACAGACGTCTTCCCCCAGTCAGACACGAGTATGTTGCCCTTGTTGTTGACACACATATAGGCCGGGTAGGTAAACAGTGTCTCACTGTTGTGTGTAGTGACTGACCTGAGCACGTCTCCTGTCATGTCCAGGATATCAACACAGGCGCTACCACCTGCTGCTAGAGATGAAGGACTCAGAACAGCGAGACTGAAGTACCCCTTGCTTGTTGTGATGGTTGAAAGCAACAACAGGTAAGGGGCCACTTCTACTGTTACAATCTGATAGGAGTGAGGAAGAGTAACCATCACTTGGATCTCTGTCAACTTTGTTATACCCCAGGGAGGGGCGTCCAGGGGAAGTCTACTGTGATGTCGATGGTTGTTTCTGGTCCAGAAGGATTTCACACACGTGTTTTCCCAGTCAGTGACTACAACAATTTGTATACCATCTACATAAAGTGTTGTGGTGTCAAACATACCATGGGTCACTTGGTCATCCTCTGTGGCCGCATCAGTTGTGTGGAACAACACTGGTGACCACTGCAGTCCATCTCGATATGTGACATCAATCTCCCACAGCTGTAGGTCATCCAGGATACTGTCAGTGTCAGGTGTAAACCTGACGTCGTCTATTCTCCGTGTGTCTGCTGTGTCTGTGTCCCTGACCCCCAATTCTACAGGCCCCGACTCCCAGGCCTGATACGCGTCATATAGGTCCATCTCACAGTCCGATATCAAGGCCTGGTCAATGAACTCACAATGTTGTCTGTACATTTGCATCTCAATCTCTTCAAGCTTTACATCTGCATGGGTCTGAATGATGTGTCTTTCTGTTATTTCATCCAATTCATCTAACAGCTTCTTTTCTTTCAGCCTGATGTACTCCATGACTTTATTGGCGTTAAGATGAATCTGTTCTTCTAATGCCACTTTATCGTCTTTTATTTGATGTATTTTCAACTTATGTCTCTCTATTCTTTTGCTTTTGCCATGACATTTTGTCCGTAATATATTCCTTCTCATAGCTAACTCCGATTTCATTCTTTCTTCTTGTGAATTGATTGTGACGACAGAGTCACATTTCCTGTGGTAGACCACACAGCATGACTGACACAGTGACTTGTTGCAATCTTTACAGAGATATTCCACTTTCTTATCCTTGTGTTCATGACAAAAGACCTTGTGTCTCTTCTTCACCTTGACCTCTTCAGACAGGTCACACAGTTCATGGTCACAAGATAAGGGACTCGCACGATGCATCTTGACACATCTTTCACACAGAGTAACTTCACAGTCCGGACACCAGGAGGTCCCTGGAGTTGTCTCCCCTAGCTGCCCGCATAACGTGCAGCATTTGGCGTTTGTGTCTGAATATAAAAGACTGTTGTGTGAATATATCATATATGCTTGCATGTACGTAAACAATCTTATTAAGATCTTATAACAAATTTTTTACTCTGTTTTAAGATAGGAGGTCGTGTCGGAAGAATTTTCTATTCAGCTAACTGAAATCAGCATCGAGGCTTCTTAATCTTGTTCTGTTAAATCCCCATTTCCAACTAATATCAAATTGAGATCAGTTTGTGTATTTTCGACTCTACTACTTATGTTCTAAGTACCATGTCCCTTTCGTCCTTTAACAAGTCACATTAAAAAAAAAAGTTATCTGCATTTTCACATTTACCACCATACAAACATTCTGCAGTGTCTTAAATTCCAAGTCTACATAAATCATAATGTAAGTGACTAACTTTATGTCTAAGCTCAGTGTGTATTTTGTTTTTTTTATCAATTATGTCCAAAAGAAAAGTACATGTTTGTATGTTTGGGTTTGGAGATAATTTTGATTTACACAGTAAGTGTTTTAAGATGTCGTGTTGATTTACACATTATTTCATTTAACGCATGCCACAACTTGACAATAGATGGGACAAAGTATAATGTGAAGGTTAAAATCATGGTTGTTGTTATATTTTCCGAATTTCTAAGGGTGTTTGTTATTTGTTAAGCAAACTAACTTAACTAAAATACCTTTAAATAAAGATGGGTCTGTGTTGTGATATGTTTTTAATACAAGAGTTTTCACTTCCGTCCACTTTACCAATTCCGAAATACAATGATGCCCACGATGTATATTTTGGTAGCCCAGAAATTATTTTTGCTGCTGCCAATTGCAGTCCGATTTCTGTATCTCTGAACGAATATAACCGAGGAACTCTATTTATTGTTGTGGATTTTTACACACCCTGCCGTGTTTGAGTGACATCCCATCCAGATCCAAAAGTATAGCTTTGGATAGTAGATCCGTTCTGTGACGGTTTTCTTTGACTGAGGTTAAAAAAATTAGAATGGTAGTTAAGAAATATTTTTGAAAGCTGACGTCTGATTGGCTCAAGGACCTTGCATCCTTCCTTTTGATTGGGTGCTCTGGGTTCACCCGACTCTCTTTTATAGGATGTGTCTTCAGGTATCATATCAGAGTAAAAGATCTGATATTCATGAGTTTCAGAGCTCCATATAAGCCGCGTATTTGTGTGTAATACGCAAAAAATACCATTTTCCCAATAAATCATTGCGTTTCTTATGCATGAACAATTAACATAAAATAATGTATATTTTTCAACCTGCGTACATGTATTTCTCCACAAATGTTTACGTAATGATCGAATGCAAGACACAAGTCTTACTGCAGTGAATAATGCATTGTTTGTTTGTAGTTTAACGCTGCACTCAGCATTATTACAGCTACATGACAGCGGTCTGTAAACAGGCGTGTATGGACGAGACAATCTAGTGATTGACATCAAGATCAACGATCAACGCACTTTGAATACAATGACATGCATTAACCGAGTTACCTGATCCCGTTTGTCGCCTCATACGACAAGCATGGGTGTCTGCAGGTCTACGTCTCGAATTGTTGTTGACCAGACATGTATACCAGTTATACCACATGTATACCACATGTTACACACATTGCGCAGCACACGAACAGGAACAAAGTGGAATCATCAGATATATTTTGCTATATTATAAAAGTATTTATAAACTATTAGGAATATCTAAAACAATCTGTGGCAATAAGATTTCCAAACTTTTAACTGTTTTATATATGCAGAACACTGTTCCAAACTTGTGATATGTCTGCTCGATTACTTTGTTTGTAAATAATTACGTGGATGTTTTTGGAAACTTCTGATTAATGAATTAATGAATTAAATTCATTCATTCATTCATTCTTTCTATTTTCTTTCTTTCATTCATTCATTCTTTCATTCTCAGGAGGTCCTGTGTACATTTCACACTTTCATGACTACACAAGAAAGTAATAAAAACAAAACAAACTGGAATTCTGGAATTATCTTCCTTAAAATGTGGGCGTGTCTTACCGTCAGTAGTATCGCCAGCTTGTGTGTCAATCAGACCCTGTATAATGATGCTGGGTTTGATCTGCCCCGCCCACTCCTTCACTGGCCTGCTTGGGTCGGGGACCTTGGTATCTTGTCGACAGAAAGAACAGGGGATCGTCTTGGACTTTACAGCATCTGGTCTGGTTTGGATGTATGCAGTGACACATTTCCTGCAGAATGTGTGATCACACTTCAGTGTACAGGGGTCTGTGTACAGTTCCTGGCAGATCACACAGGTGAGGAACTCCGTCACTTTCTCATTCCACGACGTCGCCATCTGTAAAACAGGTCATGACGTCGCACAAATAACCTTGTTTGAACAGCTGTTCGTGTCGTTGTATATGTGGTTACGAATTTCTTTGTTGAGACAATCTACAATGATGTCAATGAGTAAACCATATAGCTTGTTTTTCAACGTCGAGAATGAGGTGCATCTGCCCGGAGAGGGACGGCCGTGGGTTCAATCCCTCGCCTCGTCATTACAAAAGATGTTAACAGACGGAACTTGTTGTTACCCTGCCTGGCGCTCGGCATAAATTGGACAAAACAAGTCCGAGTCAGTGTACCGTGCCTGAGTGGGGTATTCGTGTTAAACTGTTGCATGGTATCTCAGAGGGCTAACACCATAAAATCGGCATTAGTCTGGACTTGTACAAGCAGCCTCACAGATACACAGCACGTGTGCACACACACGAGCATGCACATCGCTATATAAATGCAACATTCTTGAATAATTGAATATATATTGACCCTACCATAGTCCTACAGGAATACATTATGCTGCATATCTTGATATCATGTTAAACAAGACGTCTTAGAAACGTGTGTAGATTATACTATTTTGGGGACAACACCTTTTTTTCATTACACCACTGGGGGCACGATTGGCCCAGTTGTCTAAGGCGCCGTGATTCGCTATGCAAAATTGCATCCCTTGGACACGCCAGAAACCTATGATTGTGGGTTCGAGTCCCGGTTCGCCCCGATTATGTTTCTAGGTTTGTCAGCACCATACCCGTGCTCGTTGGTTTCACCGAAGTTGAAGTCTGAGACCTGCATCACTTCAGGCTTTCCTCCCACATTAAGCTGACACGCCGTGATATAACTGGAATACTGTTAAAAGCGGCGTTAAACCCAACTCACTCACTCACTCACTCATTACATCGCTCTTTATAATTAACTCGGGTAACTTCTTGAGGTAAGTGCGGTAATGTAGTCCTGTTATAAATACGCACGTGCTTAGTATTAACAGCTTTGGAATAATTCAAATACAGTTTGGTACAAAATGACTTTATCGACCCCGTCAGCGCAATGGTCAAACCCATAGCCTCTGTCAATATACAAGGGAGGTAACTGTAAACGATTGTATTCGGGACCAAGTCAACATATCTGTATTGCGTGATTTAACATGTATGCCAGACACTTGCAGAACTCATAACAATACAAGAAAGTTATAATGTCAATTCTTTCGCATTTCATTATTGCCCTGGTCCGTACAGCTCCTTATCAGCATAATACTCTCTTCGTGTGACGTATCGATCAGAAATACCTTTGTGTTTACAAAACTAAATCAGTGTTTGAGAAACACATACCTGTAACAGTCGATGCTATCGATGTTCTGGCCATACACTAGTTCATCGTGTGCACTGTGTGCGGTTTACTGTGTGTCTTGGAGGTGTTGAAATAAAGGTATCTCGCCGAGACACACAGCGGTGTCTGTCAGGTCTGCATAATATACAAGGGAGCTAACTGCGACATCTCGACGAGTGGTGATTCATACGCGATCAACGCTCAGGAAAACGAAGGTTCCGGGATCGAAACAAGGATGATTGCTATATCCGCGTGAGATTACAATGAAGAATGTCATCACTTGGATGTTTTGTCGTCATAGTTTTGCATCACAATGAGCGATAGGACGTCATAACACTGCGGTGTAGAACTGACATATGCGAGGCTTGGTAATTTTTTTTAAGGGGTGTCCACTTCATGTTGGCTAGAGAAACAGTTATGTTTGATATCCAAATAAGTATATGATTTGTAAAATAATACAGTGAGTATATGCAGTACTAAAATTTGTTCAAAGGCTATTTTAGTTTCCTTAATTCAGATCGATAATCCACTCAAAATGTTGAACTCAGTCCATGCCACCAAACAGTTCGGTTATTTGTTGTCATAGCAGAATGCAGATAAAAGTACAACTTGCCGCCTTGAAATAAAAAATCAACAAATGAATATAAAAATGCACTGTCAGTACGTACATGTAACTGGTGAGCGTACAAAGTTGCACTCAATGCCCCGGAAGCGAACCCTGACTTGTATATCCTATATATAGTTACCGTTATTGAAAAAAAAACACTTGATACAAAACAACGCCTTCCTCGAAAATAATGCGTGGTCAAAGCCCTTCGAAATATATATCAGCATAGAGCTTATTGGAGGTTTTAATTCCGTAAAACATGGAGTACTGGCAAACAATATCAACTGAAAATAAACAGTCAATCGCTATAAACTTATGTGTAGTTTGAGTACAATGAGTTTGAAATGATGCCAAAGGGCCAACGAGCATGAATCCTCACAAGAAACTTTATGCTACTACCGCTGTTAGAAGCCCATCAATTTGTTATTCAGTAACAGTATTTTGTTTTATTTTGTTCTTAACTCATGTATTGTCAGTTTTCAGTCAGGCTCCTAGCCAATGATCATAGCCTTGTGGTCAGAGCGTTCGCCTGTCACGCCCAACATGGGGACAATGCGAGAAGCTCATTTCTGGTGTCAACCGCCGTGATATCGCTGGAATATTGCTAAAAGCGGCGTTAAATCATACATAGTCATAATATCATTGCAATACATCAGTGAGTGAGTGAGTGAGTTTGGTTTAATGCCGCTTTTAACAGTATTCCAGTCATATCACGGCAGGTTTCAGACGTTTACCGCTTCGGTGAAACCCACGAGCAGGGGTATGGTGCTGACAAACCGAGAAACATAATTGGGGCGATTCGAACCGGGATTCGAACCCACAATCATAGGTTTCTAGCGTGCCTAAGGGACGCAACTCTGCACAGCGAATCGCGGCGCCTTAGACGACTGGGCCACCCGTGCCCCCGCAATACATCAGTGACAAATTAGAACATTGATACTTTACTTTGCCTCCGTCCTACGGACACAATGAACTAGTACTGAATATCATTCATCTTAATGTTCTATAAAAGACAACATCTATTTTATGACAAGTGTAATATTGGGACATAATGAGCTACACTGCTCCTAATCTGCTACGGCGGCAATAGGCAACACAATCACTCGTGTAGAGTTCTCTCCTTTGCCTCTAGATCCGTTGGTCGTCGGTTCGAATCCCTGAGTCTTTCTGATTGTGATCCCGCGTGCTTGTAAGCGCCATTTGACTGTCGCTTGTTTCACCAAAGTATGCAAAGTGCTGTTACCAGTGAGTGTATGCCACAGTGAGATCAAACAGTCAATCTTTATTGTAGTGCTGAAGGGGCCACAGGCCTACGGTACATAGATATTATTTCAGAGCAATAGCTGATACAGACTGGCTTCCTTTACACATTGTCAAGATAAATAAACAACTGTTGAAAGGTTACACTGCTAGCTAGAGAATTGTAAAAGTGATTCTAATTTAAAGATATTGGGATGGACAAAGCGATATTCTGAAATACACACACACACACACACAACACACACACACACACACACACACACACACACACACACACACACACACACACACACACACACACACACACACACACACACACACACACGCGCGCGCACACACACACACACACATATATATATATATATATATATATATACATATATATATATATATATATATATATATATTACTTAATGAGGCTTATGCTGGAGACACGGTAAGAGAATGATATATATATATTCACCCACTACTGCATTCAAATTACATAAGAGACACATTCGTTCTCCTAATACATTCACCCCAGGTCATCTAATTATGTGTCAACACAATTCCCCGGGGCTATATATGAGATATAGTTTCTGACATCTGTCGCAAGCGCTGGCTATTATGACGGCAGTGAACATATATGTTTTATGATGCCATAAGCTAATATATTCGCCTTTAAACAGTTTGTTCAATTGATTTTTTGAAAGTTCATTACAGTTTTTCTAGTCCTATACATGGGAGTTCCCGGTGCTATGTTAAGACATTGTTTCAAACGTTGGACGTTGGTGCACTGACGCGAGGTCACGGTGAATCTCCTTGGACGTCAGAGTTCGGGGTCGTGAGTTTGCAATTATTGTAACATACGGGTCTTTGCTTCTGTTGGATTTATATTATTGTGTGCGTGAGAGCGTGTTGAGATGTGGTGTATATTGGAGGGTAGCCCGAACCAGAAATTATTTAGTCCCTAGTAGATCGTAGCGACATAATGCGTCACATTGTATTTACTCAATCCCTATGTCATGATAAATTCCTTGATGTTTTCATAATCGCTCACAAATATGGAGCCATGATTGTCCGACCAGAGACCCTATGGAGAGCTCAAACCATCCTGTAACGTGAGAACATCCCTGACATACTCCCCCGACTCTGTCAGTTGTATCACCTTGTTGGTGTCCCTGTCTGCAAACAGGATGCCTCCTGTGCCTGTAGTTGAGATACCGTAAGGTCTGAGTGCTCTGTCTCCGGTAGGGGCGTATCTCCACACAACATCCCCCTCTGACGTCACACATGTCACAGACTGCTCCCCCCAGTCAGACACGAGTATGTTCCCCTTGTTGTTGACACACATGTAGTCGGGGTAGGCAAACAGTGTCTCATTGTTGTGTGTAGTGACTGATATCACCACGTGTCCCGCCATGTCCAGGATATCGACACACTCCAAATTACCTGCTGCTAGAGATGAAGGACTCAGAACAGCGAGACTGTAGTACCCCTTGCTTGTTGTGATGGTTGAGAGCAGCACCAGGTCGGGGATCACTTCTACTGTTACAATCTGACTGGAGTCAGGGACAGCAACCATCACCTGGTTCTCCTTCAACTGTGTTACTCCCGATGGAGAGTCATCCAGGGGGAGTCTACTATGACATGGTTGATTGTTTGTAGTGTAGAAAGATTTCACAAACTTGTTTTTGGCGTCAGTGACAACACATGTCTGTATACCATTTACAAGCAGGACTGTGACGTCATGTAGATCAGGTTCCTCCACATCTTCCTCCATCCAGCCGTCAGTCGTGTCAACCATTACCGGATAAGATTTCCGACAGGTTCCAGTCTGGTATGTGACGCCAATCTTCCCAAGTTGTAGGTCATCTAGGATGTGTTGGACGTTGTCAGTGTCAGGTGTAAACCTGATGGCATCTATTCTCCGTGTATCTGCTGTGTTTGTGTCCCTGACATCCCCCAACTCTACAGCCCCCGACTCCCAGGCCTGATACGCGTCGTACAGGTCCATCTCACAATCCGATACCAAGGCCTGGTCAATGAACTCACAATGTTGTCTGTACATCTGCATCTCAATCTCTTCAAGCTTTATAGCTGCGCAAACCTGAGAGATATGAGTATCTGTTTTTGTATCCAATTCATCTAACAGCTTCTTTTCCTTGTGCTTGATGTGTTCGACGAGTCTGTTTGTAGTTGATCTGATGTGTTTTTTTACGGACGCTTTATTGTCTTTTATTTCACTTACTCTTGATTTTTGTTTTTCTATCTTTTTGCTTTTACCAAATAGCTTTTTCTTAAGACCATTGACTTTACGAGATAACCCAAGCTTTATCCTCGTCATCTGAGAGCTGATTGTGACGACAGAGTCACATTTCCTGTGGTAGACCACACAGCATGACTGACACAGTGACTTGATGCAGTCCAGACAAAGATATTCCACTTTCTTATCCTTGTGTTCCTGACACATGACCTTGCGTGTCTTCTTCACCTTGACATCTCCAGGCAGGTCACATAATTCATGGTCACCAGTTGCAGAACTTTCGTGGTGTATTTTGGAACATCTGCCACAGAGGGACTCTTCACAATCAGAACACCAGGCGGTCCCAGGAGTTGTCTCCCCTAGCTTGTCACACAGGCAGCAGTTGTTGTAGGAATCATCACCTGTGGAGGAATATCATTATTAGGTGTGAGTGGGTTATGTATAATTTAACACATACACATATCCATTTACATGTTCAAGTTACAGATTTCAAGGCATGATTGGAAACAGACATAAACTATTTCGATGAAAATGGAATTAGAAACAAAAAAGATGGGTCTGTGGCGGATGTGTTTCACTGTAAGTGTTCATGCTGTCATATGTCATTCAATTGCTGGATAATCTGTTAATGTATAAAAATCACACCTGTCGTTCGTCTCGCAGATTCCTGTGTGTCAATCAGCCCCTGTATAATGATGCTGGGTTTGATCTGCCCCGCCCACTCCTCCACTGGCCGGCTTGGGTCGGGGACCTTGGTATCTTGTCGACAGAAGGCACAGGGGATCGTCTTGGACTGTACAGCATCTGGTCTGGTTTGGATGTATCCTGTGACACATTTCCTGCAGAATGTGTGATCACACCTCAGTGTACAGGGGTCTGTGTACAGTTCCTGGCAGATCACACAGGTGAGGAATTCCATCACTTTCTCGGCCCGTGACGTCGCCATCTGTAAAACTGGAAAAGTTGATAGAAAACCAATGAGAAAAGTATTTTCCGTAAAGTGAACTGTAATTAAAACATGTATGCATACTTGTGATATAAGACCGGTTTGGTTTAGAAATTAATGCGGTTCTAGTTATGTCAAAGTTGTAAAATTGGTCATTTTTTCCTCAATATTTATAAAATAGGTAACTGTGGTAATAGTCTTTATGGTGTAATATTAAGTTGAATGTAAGGTGCTGTGTTCAGTCGGTCTCACATGTGAAGGTCGCAGCTATCTAGACAATTACATAACATTCTTGGAGCATGGTCAGCATCATCTATCTGTACGTGTCTCAGCCTCCATTTCGGTGACCGCTTGCCGCTGATACGTCAACATCATATCAATATTTTCGGACAACTTCATCAATTATTATTCAACTTATGTGGACATCACTTGCTCAAACTTCTTAGAAAAGCCTTAATCCCTATTCTCGGCGCACGAACTCAAATTTTCTTATCAAGCTGATAATTGAACATGCAGTAAATTCGTGACCATTCAAGGTGTCTAGAGTATATATACTGGCTAGCCCCGGGGATACCTCACTGTCGAGAAATCCCCAATAAAGGAGCTGGCCATAGACACTTTGTTTGGTCTCTTTGAAGGTAAGTCATGTTCACTTTACTATTTCTCTAAATTTATAAATTAAATTGTTTTAA